AGTGCTCGGTTACAACCTCTCCCTAGGCACGTCAACCGACGCCACTCCTCTTGGGACGATCCCCGACTCTCACCACACACTCCTCATTCGGTGTACAAGTGTATTACAAAGTGAATCTCTCAATAAGCATAATATAACAAATGATTGTTCTCAACTATGGATGAGAACTCAATTAAGCACAACTCAAAGTTATAATCTCTCACCACCCAACTATACTATGTATGAAAGATACAATAAGCTCAATGTGGGTGTGTGGTGTGTGTAAACAATGAGTGAAATCAAAATCAAAACTAAACTCAATTAAAATCTAGCATATAGAAATTATAAACAAAATAATAAATAGCTAGAAATGAGTTTAGAGATTCTTGTCTGAATAACAAGATGGAGAGATGGAGATTTGAGGCTCAAACAAGAAGATAATCTCCTCCACTTGTGAAAGCTAAAACTGCTTTAAACCAAACTCTTAAACAAGCTTAAAACAAGCTTAAACCCTTTTTAAAACCCTTGTTAAAAACTTCTTAGCTAACTGAAAACTGAGATCAAAGAGGGTTTTTATAGCCTCCAAAACCTCAGACCAAAACCCCTTACAAAAAGACCAAAAAACCATCTGCAACGGCTCTAACTCCAGTGGTCGACCGATGAAAATCGCGGTCGACCGCGAACAAGGTCAGAAACTCAGGAGACATCCAGAGAGTTCGTCGGTCGACCGGCGGAAAATTTCGGTCGACCGGCGGTACTGTAGCAGGTATATCCAATTTTATAAAATCAGTTAAAAATAGTAAAACAGCTCCAAAAATTATGAAATTTTGGGGGAAGGTTCTAGACATATATAAATATATGTTAGAGAAAGAATTTCTGAAAAATTATTTCCCAGTTGAGAGAAATAAATGTTTGAACATAGAAATACAGTTTCTGAAAATCTGCTGTGATACACGATTTTGTAAAATCAATTAGGCACAGTAAATCAACTCCAAAAATAGTAAAATTTTGAGAAAAGTTTCTAAATATGTAGATAAACATGTCAAAGAAAGAATTTCTTGAATATCACTTCCTATTTATATTTATAAAAACTCATCTGTTTTGTAAAACATGCACGAACATGTGCACGAACGAAAACGTGAATTTGTAAATTCCTTTAAACATAACAAATCAATTCCAAACTTGATGAAACTTTGAGAAATGTTTGCAAATGATATTTTGAACATGTTACAAAAAGAATTTTCCAATTTGCATTTCCCAATTGTGAAATCTCATTATTTTGCAAAAGTGTTCAAAACATGAAAAAAGTGATATACATGAAGTTTGATGTTTTGACATAAACAATATTTTGAAACTTTGCACAATGATTATATAGACTTGATAAAATATGTATATGATGATTGTTAAGTCTATAAACTGAGAATACAATATTTGAGCTTAGAAACCAAATACGTGTGTGTATATGATATTGAGCTTAGAGTATCTAACACACATAATATAAAACCTAAACTAAATTACCCAAGCTAGATCTTGATCTTCAATTAAGCTTGACTTGATACATTTACGGATGGAGCTTGAACTTGATCTTTAACTTGAATTGTACGTTGCTTCACTCCACAATTCTGCCAACCTCCTCTTGAGAGCTTGAACTTGATCTTTAACTTGAATTGTACGTTGCTTCACTCCACAATTCTGCCAACCTCCTCTTGATATGATCGTGTAGGCTCAATCCATCCATCCTCCAACAACGTTGTTTGTCTACAAAACATAGGAATACACAAACACTAGACAAATAATATTAATAGTAAATTATTTGTTAAACATCATCAAAACAAGAAGGCCAACAGTTTTTACATGCACACTTGTTAATTCTAGCTCTACCTTAGTTCTAGCTTCTATTACCCTAGTTCTAGCTTGTATACAGCCAGTTCTAGCCCACACCTTACTAGTTCTAAACCCAGCCCACATTTTTGACATGCACACTTGTTAATTCTTGCTTCTACGTTAGTTCTAACTTTTATTATCCTAGTTCTAGCTTGTATACAGCCAGTTCTAGTCCATATCTTGCTAGTTCTAAACCCAACCTTCGTATTTTACCTTCACACTTGTTAATTATTGCTTCTACGTTAGTTCTAGCATCTATTACCCTAGTTCTAGCTTGTATACAGCTAATTCTAGCCCACACATTGCTAGTTCTAAATCCAACCCACGTTTTTTACATGCATACTTGTTAATTCTAGCTTCTACCTTAGTTCTAGCTTCTATTACCCTAGTTCTAGCTTGTATAGAGCCAGTTCTAACCCACATCTTGTTAGTTCCAAACCCAGCCTTTGTATTTTACCTTCACACTTGTTATCTCTTGCTTCTACGTTAGTTCTAGCTTTTATTACCTTAGTTCTAGCTTGTATACAACCAGTTCTAGCCCACACCTTACTAGTTCTAAACCCAGCCCGCGTTTTTTACATGGACACTTGTTAATTCTAGCTTTTACTTTAGTTCTAGCTTCTATTACCCTAGTTCTAGCTTGTATACTGCCAGTTCTAGCCCACACCTTACTAGTTCTAAACCCAGCCTTCGTATTTTACCTTCACACTTGTTAATTCTTACTTTACGTTAGTTCTAGCTTCTATTATCCTAGTTCTAGCTTGTATACAGCCAGTTCTAGCCCACACCTTGCTAGTTCTAAATCTAGTCCACGTTTTTTACATGTACACTTGTTAATTCTAGCTTCTACCTTAGTTCTAACTTCTATTACCCTAGTTCTAGCTTATATACAACCAGTTCTATACAGCTAGTTCTAGTTTGTATATAAGCTAGAACTAGTATAATAGAAGCTAGAACTAACGTAGAAGCAAGAATTAACAAGTGTGAAGGTAAAATATGAAGGCCGGATTTAGAACTAGCAAGGTGTGGGTTAGAACTGCCTATTTACAAGCTAGAACTAGGGTAATAGAAGCTAGAACTAACGTAGAAGCAAGAATTAATAAGTGTGAAGGTAAAATACAAAGTCTGGATTTAGAACTAGCAAGGCGTGGGCTAGAACTAGCAGTATACAAGCTAGAACTAGGATAATAGAAGCTAGAACTAACGTAGAAGCAAGAATTAACAAGTGTGAAGGTAAAATACGAAGGTTGGGTTTAGAACTTGCAAGGTGTGGGCTAGAACTGGCTGTATACAAGCTAAAACTAGGGTAATAGAAGCTAGGACTAAGGTAGAAACTAGAATTAACAAGTGTGCATGTAAAAAACACGGGCTGAGTTTAGAACTAGCAAGGTGTGGGCTAGAACTGGCTGTATACAAGGTAGAACTAGGGTAATAGAAGCTAGAACTAACGTAGAAGCATGAATTAACAAGTGTGAAGGTAAAAAACACGGGCTGAGTTTAGAACTTGCAAGGTGTTGGCTAGAACTGGTTGTATACAAGCTAGAACTAAGGTAATAGAAGCTAGAACTAAGGTAGAAGTAAAAATAACAAGTAGCGGTTAGAACTAACTTAGTAGCCAGAATTAACAATTATAGCAGCTAGAACTAACTCGAGGGCTACTAGAAGTACCACGATAGCATCTAGAAATGACATATCATTAGGTATAACTATTATCAAATATAATTAACATCGATTTATAAAAACATGATTGTATCCTCATTTATAACAACGATTTATAACTACCGTCCCAGCTTACAACCCTCATTTATAACAACGATTTATAACTACCGTCCCAGCTTACAACGATTTTTGGTAATTAAATATTTTTCAGCCTATTTTGCTAATTAAGTTTTAAAATGGTAATTAAATATTTTTCAGCCTATTTTGCTAATTAAGTTTTAAAAGTGGTCTATTTTAAAAATTTGTTTGAAATAAAAATACAAAAAGATTGCGCACATTAGATTTATTGTAAATTCAGCTTCCTCCAAAAAGACGTGGATTTCTCGTGAAAGTGGAAAAATAGGGACAACTTTTGATTATTTTTTAAAATTAAATCATTCATTTATTTGTAGCTGGTCAAACATTTTTTTTCTTTTCTTCTTCTAGCTAATGGATTAATGTTCTGTGCATCTCGGCCTGGTGACTAAAAAAACATTCATAACATAATCGGTCATAATTTACAAATACAGAAGCTCATAAGGATAAATCCACAGTCATGTGAGAAATTACAAACATAGATATATTGTCAACATGAACCCTCAATTGATCAAAGTCATCTAAAAAAAAGGAAAAGTAATGTCCAAATCTCAACGGGGCACAACAACATCATCATTTAAGGTAAAGATCAATCTCAAAAACCAACATATTCTCGTAGCATCATCTTCTTAAATTCATCAAAGCATAAAACACCATCTCCATTAACATCATACCTTCGGATCATCTCCCTGCACTCCTCAATAGTCTTCAATTACCCGAACTTTTCAAGCGTTTTCCTCAAGCTCTGCGGCGACGATCTACGACGGGGGAGCGGCGACGATCTACGACGATGAGGACGGATGGAGGAGGGGAGGGGAGGCGGCGGCGAACTCGAGGGGAGCCTTGGGGGCCTGAGCGGAGGCGGCAACGGCGAGGAGGGCGAGAGCCAGGGTGATGAGCTTAAGAAAACTCTTAGTTTTAGAAAGAGGAGAGAGAGAGAGAAGAGAGAGAGAGAGAGAGAGAGAGAGAGAGAGAGAGAGAGAGAGAGGATATGAGTGCTGGGTCTTAGGGATTGAGGAGAAAGGATAAGGATAATTTGGGGATTTTAACTTAGCTGACATGTAATAATTAATAAAAAAAGGGCTGCAGTACAAAGTGTCACACATCAAGAGGCTAATTCACATGGGGAAAACTATGAGAGGTCTCGTCACATGAAGTTTCTGCTTTTGGGGCATGTACACATTTTTCGCTATCTTTGAGAATTTTTGTTATTGGTTCGCAATTGCACATGCTCAATTTCTACCGCCACCAAATTATCACAAGAGAGTTAAAAAAAAAACATAACGGGAACAGAACATCTACGACTTCGCTAAACTAGCTCCTCTTCTTTCAATTGTATGATATAGTGGGCGCAAAACTGTCAATTACATTGAATCCTGGACAAAAATATTTCCTAAAGAATCAATTGGCGTCTAAAGAATGAACCAATGAAAGAATCTTGAATGATCACCGATAACTGTTATCTACATCGCCTATGAAATTCCTCTCTTTTACACTCTTTGAATCGCCTTGATCCTTTTCTCTCGTTCGAGTCTTGAAACCAAGACTTCCAAAGCCTCTCTCATCCACAAGTCTCTGCATCCCTCTCTCGCTTCGGCGATCGTAACCCACTTCCGGTTCCTCGAACTCATCTCCGGCCAGTAGGCGAGTTCCTCGGTCACATTCAGAGCAAACATGATCCCCTCATAATACGTCCCGTACCTCTTGCTCTTGTACTTCCAGCTCCCGAGTGCATCCTGCATTGTCACAGGCATACTGCGATTTAGCAAAAAAGCCCTCCGCCAAATGCAAATTACGAAACGTAAAAAAAAACGCGAAAGTGGAAAATTAACTACCTCGAGTTTTCCCTGGACTCCGGCTTCTTCAAGAGCCTCTCTCGACGCAGCTTGATCTAAAGTCTCATCAGACTCCCATCCACCCTGCAAATTACGTAAAAAAAACGTCAGACCCCCGAAATTTGCATATAACCCCCCCGCATTTCCAAAATTGCAGAATGCCACCGAAACCCACCTTCGGAAACAGCATGGCGTTCCCCTTCTGCGAGCTGATGACAAGAACCTCAACCGCCCCATCGCGAGGCTTAACTCTGTACGGTACGCA